GCAAAATCGTATATCTATTGACCATATTTTAAGAAATTTGTTTCTCAAAATATATATATATATATATATATATATATATATATATATATATATATATATATATATATATATATTGTTTTTAAAAATAAATTGCAGGATAGGATATTTATTTCTTAAAACTAAAAACGCACTTCTTGTTTTAAGAAAAATATTTCGTAAAAAATAAATTCAATTTTGCTGTGCTTACAGTAAAACATATTTAAGATAATGTAGAGCGTGTGATGAACTTGGAGAAGGCTTCAGAAGCTACTTCAATAAAGAGTTCTTGTAAAGAACCATTACAAAAGAAGAAGAAGAGTGGATTCAAGGAGCTAACTATGTTTATCTATCTTTCTCGTTATTGAATGGTTCTTTTGAATTTTAAAATTTGAATTTTGATCCGATACCTACGTGCAAGCTCTGAACCTTAAAAATAAATTTATAAAATTATTTTAATTTTCCATATTTTCTTATCGAGATATTTGTCTTGAGATATTTCTTGAGATATTTATATATTGAGATGAAAATTTATATGTATATAAATAATTGTTGTACATTTGCAGCGTTTAAACGCTGAATTCTGAAACAAATTTGCTTTAGAAACAAGAGATCTGTGGCAGTAACGGTGTTTAAGATAGCTAACATGGAGTAAAATCCAAACAATTGTATGTTTATACTTATGTCAAATAATGATACTTTTTAAAAAGTTGCAATTATTGGAAGCTGGGAACGAAAAAGTCCTAAAGTTTTATCACTCTGCCCTAAACGTGACAGAAAAAACAACAAGTTGATGAAATAATTTATTTGTTTTTCTTAACGAAATTTATATACATTGATAAATTTTAAGCATTGTTTTACAATCTCTAAGCGTTCAAAAATGATGACCATATAAAATTTGTACCCTCAAATTGAAGGGGGTTTAAACTTTTATGTGCTCATAATTTATGAAAGCTGAGAGATAATAATATGAAACTTAAAATTTATCAGTGAATATAAACTTAGTTAAGAAAAGCAAAAAAATTATTTTACAAACTTGTTTTACTCACGTTTGGGGCAGGGGGATAAAATTTTAGGACTTCTTTTTTCCCTACTTCCAATCATCGCAATATTTTGCAAAGAGCCTTCACTGAACTGTAGTTTGATGCCAACTCTTGGATTTTTTTTTAACATGAAAAAAGTGTACACTTTCAAGTTAAAGACTCTTCTGCAGTACTCGTAATGCGACTATTAGTTCTTTTTTTGAGTACCTAAAATAACCAAATAAAAAATGTCTATACATATATTTTTAAATCACATTGATACGTTTTGATCTTGTTTAGTTTACAACAAAAGATTGAAAGTCCTTTACCCAATCTTTTAAAGAAGCCATTTCGGATTTGGATTTTTATATAAATGACTTAAATAAAGCTTAAATATTAACGAGCATTATGTATGCAGATGATACAAACTTATTCCTTTCTAACTATGATATTGCTGAACTTTTTAAAACAGTAAACGAAGAACTCAGACATATACCAAATATATATATATATATATATATATATATATATATATATATATATATATATATATATATATATATATATATATATATATATATATATATATATATATATATATATATATATATACATTGGACAATATAAATATTATTTATAAACCAAAGTTTAAACTATGAAAATTAACTATGAAAATATTTATGATTTAAATTTTCAAAGTTACCATTTTTTTCAAAGTTACCACTTTGTTTCAATCAAGACAACTGGTTCCCTAAATTAGAACACTTATATATAATTAGATTTCTTAATCAGAACAGGTTATTTCTTTTAAAAAAACCCAGTAAAATCAACAAATACTGAATAAAAATGATTTTTATCTTTACAGTGAAAATTTAAACAGTTTATTCAAAACTTGAAAAAAGATTAAAATTACCCTCATTGAAACTCTGCAAACAAATAAATGTATAAAAGTTTCAACTGCTCGTTCTAGTTAAGGCAGTTTTAAAATATTAAAGCGTCTGTATGATATTTTGTTGACTACGACATATTTCCGTATATTCATCAGGTCTGTGAATTATGAAAAGACAAAAAAATAAAATGATAAATTTTGCGGTCCATAAAATATAAATGTTTATAGCGAAAAAACTCAGACCAAAGCATCTTTTTTTAAAAAAATCTTTTCAAAATCACAATTACTTGTCCAAAATTGAGGTTTTAAATAAATACATTTATTAGGTAAAATGAACATCATAGTTTAATACTATGATTGGTTTTGATCGTTTATTTCTCTTTTTTGGTCAATATTTCTATCGAACTTCACATTTTTTATAAAAATTGATAGAAATATTGTATTTTGACAACTATATATACTTAATATACGTCAGAACCGATTAGAACTAGGATAACCGATTAGAACTAGGAGTTTTTATTGACCTATCAAAAGCTTTTGATACGGTCGATCATCATAATTTGATTTATAAACTCAAATACTGCGGAAAAAATAAATAAATTTTTAAAATGGTTTATAAGTTATCTATCTAACCGAAAACAATTTGTACATTAAACAATGCCATTTAACTGGCATAACTGGCATTTAACAATGCCAGTTATCTATCTAACCGAACTGGCATTTAACATCTATCTGGCATTTATCTATCTAACCCGATAACTGGCATTTAACAATGCCAGTTATCTATCTAACCGAAAACAATTTGTACATTTAACATTTAACAATGATTATCAACCCACTTTTTAAAACAGTAAACGAAGAACTCAGACATATATCTAATTAGTTCAAGTATAATAAGTTAACCTTGAATACTAATAAAACAAAATGAGTTTTATTTCATTCCATTACATAAAAGCGGTTTCTCCCATCAAAGTTACCTCAAAACTTTATCAATCAAAAGGAAATCAGAAGATATTTGGTTACAAAATTTTTAGGTGTTTATCTAGATAAAAACATTACTTGGAATCACCATATTGACTATATAAGCACAAAAATTTCTAAAAACATGGGGATGCTATATAAATCACGAATCTATCTCAATAAGAAAGTCTTAATTCAACTTTATTACCCATTTATACATAGTTATTTAAATTATGTCAATATTGCTTGGGGAAGTACAGAAAAAAATAAGTTGCAACGTTTTTATCTCCGTCAGAAACGCGCAATCAGTATAATCAATTTTGCAAATCGCTTCTCTAATTCGATGCATTATTTTATTGAAACGAGAGTTCTGAATATATACGAGTTGAATGCATTTAATATTTTATGTTTTGTATATATGTGGATAAATAACTTATCTCTAGCTGTCTTTAAAGATCTTTTCTCTTTTAAACCAATCAGTAAATACATTTTGAGAAATCATAACTTTTTAAATGAACCTTTCTGTCAAACAAACTTTAATCAATTTTGTATTACCTATCGAGCGCCACACCTTTGGAATAAAATTGTTTTGGCGAATTTTAATTTTGAAGTACCTATTACTTTTGGCCTTTTTAAAAAGAAACTGAAAAACCTCATTCTTTCATTATATAATTGATTGAGTTATTATTAGTAGTAAAAGTTAAAAATATATTTTGTTCTACTTTTTTTATTGTTTATATACATGCTTACGTTTATAGAAGTTTATTTCTACTTATTTTATTTATTGTTCTTATCTTTTTACTTTTTAATTTATATGTTGGTTTACTCTAATATAAAACTCTATTGAGAAGATCCTCTTAATCTTTCTTTAAACACAGATTATTTACCTTTTGTAATTTTGTAAAAGTTTATTTCTTTTTTTTAATCTTATCTTTGTTAAATACTTGTTTAAGGTTCTGACGACAAGATCTTTGCGATCTTCTTTCAGATACCTTGTTTATATTTGTTATATTTTCTATTATTGTAAGTTTATATTATTATTTATATTATTGGTTATTTAAAGCTGTACAACAAACGTAAAGCAAATAATAAAAAAAATAGGATCTATAGTAAACCAAGGCAGTTTTTCAAAAGATTTCAACTAAATTCATGTTAACGCCAATGAGCGGAATTGATCTAAAGATTCCAAAATGGTATTCTTTAGATTCACTATTATAAGTAGTAAAAAGGTTTTGAAAATTATGTATAAAAAAGAAAAGTTTCTTTAAATATTAAAAAAATCTGAAGCAAAAAAGAATTATACAATCTAAAGCTCTTGTTTGGTCATAATACGCTGATAAAATCATGCTAATTTCAAATAAAAAAATTCGAACAATTTGTAAATCGCCGAGTGTCATGACTCCCTAATTTATTTATTAAAAATTTAAAATTAAAAAATTAAAACATTTTATCATCAAATTTTTTTTTGAAAGTATTATTTTTAAGGTTTATGGTTGTTACTAAGTATTTTTAAATTGATTAGAAAAACTTTATAGTTCTAATCAAAAAAAATTTTGAACTATTTTTTTATATCACTGCAATATCATACTCGCAGCAACTAATAAAATAAATTTATACTGTTTTTTACATTTTAAAGTCCATCGCATAGAATGCAAAAAGCCATTTAACCTATAGCAGTATAGTATTTTGAGGGATAGATTTCAAAATCTATCAAAATGTTGAAAATATGAGATTTTTACTCGAAAAATGCAAATTATAACCATAATTCATTTTTTTTTTTAAATAAATGCAAGTGCAAATGCAATAATGCAAATGCAAGTGTTCCAATAAAAACGCTGTTCCAATTAATTCAACTCTCACCTATATATAAGTTCGCGAAACTCGATTTGAAAATGCTTTAAAAATGGAATATATCATTGACTATGATGGAAAATAAACTCAGAAATAATTACATTAACAACATTTCCTTTTAAGATTCATTAGTTGGTTGTCTAAAAGTTTATTTGAGAGAATTTTTTTAACTAAATATTTTTCTAGGAATTTTCTGAAGATTTTTTTTCCGGTGAATTTTCAAAAATACGTGACGTCAAGAATACTAAAAAAGTCAAAACTGTAAGCGATATTTGTTTTAACGCAAGACGAATAAATTTTCGCTAGCATATAAAAAGCAATGCAAAGGTCATATATGTGAAACAAATTAAAGATAGAAAAGTAGGTAGGTAATAAAACAATGTAAGGAATATTTGGAAAAACCAAATAGAAATGTTTTTTTTTTATTGTTTTAATAATAGTTTTTTATTTATACTTATGAAAATCCATAAAATTTTATTTAAGTACTTTAAAATTATATATATAAAAGTATATATGGGCTCCTCATATACATTATATATGAGGATGCCATCTGCAAACCGCGCTAAATCACTAAAATTTTGAATTAATTCCATTTTCTATATAACGAAATCTATCATTTATATAAATATTAGAACAAATAAATTTTTGTCCTGAAAACAGACAAAGAAATTATTAATTTCTGTTGATGCGCAACTATGAGCAATTCAGTTATCTCAAAATCAATCTACTCGGACTCAGCGTGTTTTGCAAATGGGCTTCTCATATATACATATATAAATACAAAAGATTACCAAGATTGGTCTGTTAAATTGCAGATATTGTTCAGTCTAAAAGTGTTTTGATGTATTAATTTATTATAAATAACACAATATGTAATACATAACAAAAATATAGAAAAAATATTTACAAAAGATATTTTTTTTCACTTTTGGGTTTACATTACTTTATGTTTACTGATATTGTATTTATAAGAATAACATCTGAATATAAAAAGCAAACAAACAGGTTTTATCTTTATTGACGGGTATTCGACAGATATAACTGTGCAAAAAAGTTGCATAAACAAAGTTTCCGCAAAATTTAAGTTTGCCAAAATATTTCTTCATTACAAGTTGACTAACATAAAGATTTCATTTATATATAATTAGTTATAATTAGTTATAATTAGCATATATAACTAGTTATAATTAGCAACTCCGACCTTTCATAAAATAAGAAAACATTTGCAGAAATTATTTCCTATGAACAGCTTGTTGAAAAGAAATTTTTATAAAATGATCCTTTTTTTATAACTTTGTTTGCTTAAATTAAAAAATAACTCTTGTATATATTAAAATCTTCCTTTCATTCATTCTTTAATTAGCATTCTCATTAAGTCAAAGCAGTATTTACTCACGAGCGATTTTACATAACTAATACAAAGAAAATAACACGCACTCAAAATTGTAACAAAAAGTTTCTCAGAATATTATAAATCTATAAGTTTATTGTCTAAACTTTTTTTAAATTTTAAAACATCATTTTTTAAATTTTATGTTGGTTTTTTGATTAAAAAAAACAACTATTTTTTTTGTTTAACCTCTGGAGAAAAAAAAAATATTTTTGACGTTTTTTTGTTGACTGATTAATAATTAAATTTTTTTTTAAAAGGTAAAAAAAAAAAAAAATCGAAATACTACTAATAATAAAAACAAAATTATTAAGTTAAATTAAATTATTAAATTCTTATTTTATTTCAAGAGATCTTTTATTATTTTTTATTTTAATTCACTATTTCAACAAAAACACTATTGTAAGTAATTTTATTATAAGTATTATTTTTGGATACTATATTTTCGGTTACGCACGCAACATAACTTTTAGAAATAATAGTAAATAAAAGAAAATAAGACTAGGACAAGTAAATACTGGAATTTGTTTTAACAAAATGTGATCTTCAGTGACGGATCCTGAAATTTTTGGTGGAGAGGAGGATTGCTCTTGCTAAAATTTCGTCAATGATTTCAAACCATTTTGAAAATGTTATTCATTCTTGCTTCGTAAACAATCTGTCCCCAGATTTATAGGTTCATATCAATGCAATTCAAGAATGCTACATGACTCTGCCGGCCACAAAACTCCAAAAGTTTCCGTTGTTTTCCACCACATCAATGAGTTCATCAAAATTTACAACACTGGGCACTAACACTGGGCATGGTTATTTTAGTGAGTAATCATCTGAGGCACTTCATTCAGTCCTCGGCTGTGTTCTAGACTACAACAGAAAGAATTTTTAGATTAAAGACATTTTTATGTCTATAAACAAACAGTTACTTAAAAAACGAATAAATAAAGCAATTCAAGTTTTCATTTTCTCTTATTTTTGTATTTTTATGAATTTATTAATCAAATCACAGGATGAAAGAAAAATTTCTTTACAGTAAAAACAGTTGCTTTAGTTGCCTCATTTTAAAGCCCCATAAATCAGCCAAATGAAATGAGAACTGCTGCTTTATTACTTTTTCAACTGAGAGCCCTTTGAAAACTCTATGTTTTTATATAGTTTTAAAAATTGTGATAATATTTCTATTTTTTTGTGGAAACTGACAGAGCTAAAAATGGCATTTTGTTTTCTAATAGGTATATTTGAGTCTCAAATAGAACAAAATATTTTGAAAAAAAAAGCCCCCCAAAATAGTCATATTTTAAAAGGTACATATAAAATCTATGAAAACTTACATATATATCATTAAATGGAACATTTATAAGTATTTACCCATCACTTTATTTAACCGGCATAATTTTAATGTTGAAAATTTTGCACAGATCACCTAACTTTAAACTAAATTTTCTCAAACAGATTTTAATTTTTTTTGTCAAATGAACCGTGAGTGTCTCTAGATAAATGGATATTATGTCATTATTTTGGTCCTCAATTTGAGGGTTAAAGCCAAAATCGGGAAACTGTGTGCTTTGAAGCCATTGAATTATTTACTCTTTGATTAGGTTTTTTTTCGGTAGAAGCTAAATAGGCTATGTATGTATGTATGTATGTATGTATGTATGTATGTATGTATGTATGTATGTATGTATGTATGTATGTATGTATGTATGTATGTATGTATGTATGTATGTATGTATGTATGTATGTATGTATGTATGTATGTATGTATGTATGTATGTATGTATGTATGTATGTATGTATGTATCTATGTATGTATGTATGTATGTATGTATGTATCTATGTATGTATGTATGTATGTATTTATGTATGTATGTATCTGTTAAAATTTATATTAAGTTTTACATTAAGACTCGTTATTTAATTTAAGTATACATATAAGAAACTTTTTTAAGGTTTTTGTACCCACTGGGGTATTTAAAGGCTTTATATATATATATATATATATATATATATATATATATATATATATATATATATATATATATATATATATATATATATATATATATGAATACGTATTAGTGCTTGCATATATATTCGCGAGAGTGCTTAATGAATTAAAGTAAATTAAAATGGTTAAAATTAAACCAGAGCGGTATCTACTATAACATATTTATATGCACAATTGCTCACTTCTTTTGCTAGCCTAAATTAAGTGAGCATTTTTAGAAAACGATGAGGGAAAACAAAGAATAATGAATGAAAATCTTGCTGACCCATACCAAACCCTCAGTCGATGTATCAGCACTCCACGGCGAGTCCGGCTATTTGTCAGTCGATGTATGTACTGAAGCCCCCGGCAGCAGGCTATTTGACATTAGGTGAGTATGACATCATCATGCTCACCTAACTCAGCAGTATAAGATATATATGTATATATACATATATATATATATATATATATATGTATATATATATATATATATATATATATATATATATATATATATATATATATATATATATATATATATATATATATATATATATATATATATATATATATATATATATATATATATATATATATATATATATATATATATATATGCACTACTAGTGCTTGATTTACGAGTACATTTTTTTTCCCCGTTAATCGCAATTTTTATTTCTCTATTTTTACTATATTTTTCATATATGTTCTTTTTTTTATATTTTTATTTTATGTCAAATTTTATTTATTCATTTTTAAATTTATTATTTTCGTAAAAAAGTTTATTTTTTATAAATATTTTTATTATTATTATTTAATTATTAACTATTATATTTTATATTTTTATATATATTTACAAAAAACGATTATTTACATTAACATAATTAACCCTAACCCTAAGCCTGACCTTGCTGCCTGGCCAAACCAAACCCTCAGTCGATGTAGCAGCACTTCCTGGCGAATCAGGCATTTTGTCAGTCGATGGATGTACTTTTAGCTTTGCATAAAAACTATTTACAGGGACATTTTTTAACAAAAAAAAACGCTACTTACGAGGGCAAAAGATTATCGAGTACACTAAAATATCCCCGTTAATGCTAATGTCCTCGTAAGTATCTATTTTAATGTAAAATCTGTTCCCGAAAGTAATACTATATGAATATATATATATATATATATATATATATATATATATATATATATATATATATATATATATATATATTGATATATATAACATTAACTATAGCATATTTATATGCGCAATTGCTCACTTTTTTTGCTTGTCTAAATTAAGTGAGATTTTTGAGAAAACGATGAGCGAAAACGAAGAATAATGAATGAAAAGGTTGCTGATCCATACCAAACCCTCAGTCGATGTAGCAGTACTCCACTGCGAGTCAGGCTATTTGTAAGTCAATGTATGTACTGAAGCCCCCGGCAGCAGGCTATTTCAGTATGACGTCATCATTCTCACCTGACTCAGCAGTATAAGATATACATAAATGTATATATATATACATAAATGTATGTATATATATATATATATATATATATATATATATATATATATACATATTTATGTATATATATATGTATGTATATACATATATATATATATATATATATATATATATATATATATATATATATATATATATATATATATATATATATATATATATATATATATATATATATATATATAAATATATATATATATATATATATATATATATATATATATATTTATATATATATATGTATATATATATATGTATACAGGGCCGGCGCGAGTAGGTGTCACGTGGGGGGGGGGGGTGCCATTACAACTTTTGCCCACGAAAAAAAAAAAAAAAAAAAGGAAAAGAAAGGGACAAAAAGTCTCTCATCTATAAACATCTCTATGCTAATAAAAATTGTTTCAATGCAAATAAATGACAAGTTTTTTTCTGTGTTAGTTCCGGCATCTAACAAATTTGATTTGAAACTTAAAGAAAGTATATTTATATAATGGTTAAAACCTGGCATAAATAAACAGGTTAACCATTTACAAATGACAATTTCTGTTTAGCTGCTATTTTTTGTACATATTGCGTATCTTTTTAACCTATACTTTTATTATTTCCTATTTCTTTTGTATGACATTTTGTATAAACGTTTAAACTAATTTTATTGTATTTTTGTATTAAATATATTATTATTAGTTTGTAAAAGAATAATTATATTTTGTATTGTTTTTTTAAATACCTTTACAGGTATTTTAACAAATTTTAAATAGTTAATTTTAACTGAAGATGGCTGGTTTTAGTTAAAACATGTATTGTTTTTCATTAAAAAATGTTTTTGAAAATTAGAAAATTTGTCTTGTTTATGAATATATATATATATATATATATATATATATATATATATATATATATATATATATATATATATATATATATATATATATATATATATATATATATATATATTTATATATATATATATATATATATATATATATCTATATGTATATATATATATACATATATATATATATATATATATATATATATATATATATATATATATAGCAAAGTAAAAGTAGTACCATATGTTCAACAACACATCAGTTTCAATCAAACTTGCGCCACTAGCCTACGATGTTAAAGTCATCCTTGGTATAGATGTTTTTATTATTGTTGTTGCTTTTTTGTTCAATATCGTTGGTATATTGTTACTTCTTAGTCCAAAGCTGAAGAATTTAACCCCACAAAACATTTACATTATCCATATGAGTTTTTTATCGATTATAAATATAGGCAATAATGCTAGAGCCGTGTATTGGAAATACCATCGTACAAGATTGACTAAAAATTTTATTGCCATATATTATCTAGCGCACATGGCTTACATTATTAATCTCTGTTTTTTATCATTAGACAGATTAATGTTTGTTGCCTTTCCTTTCCAATATAGAATAAAAAAGTCAAAGTTTCTTGTGTTATTGAGTCTGTTTATTTTATGGTTAGTATCAATCGTTTTTGGATTGCTAATTAAATTTGGTGGGATTGCTAACGATTGGTTTTACCATTATGCTTCCTACATTTACAATGGATTTGTTATTGTTCTTGCAGTCTGTGTATACGTTTTTATTGGATTTAAAACGCACTTATCTTTTTTAATTCACCGAAACCGATTCGCAAATAAGAAAACAAAGAAACTATTTACTATGTCATTCCTAATTATTTTCACGTTTTTCTTGTTTGTTTTTCTTCCACATTTAATTGCCGAAAACGTGAAATTCAAATCACGAAAAACAAAAAATCTTCTGGTGTTAGGATTAATTGGAGTTAACATTCTCAATAACTTATCGGACCCTGTAATTTATATTTACTTTCAACCAACAGTAAGCAAAAAACTCGCGCTCTTTTTTAGAAAATTCAAAAACACTTTCTCTTGTTGGAAATTTAACTTTTTGTCGCCAATATTTAGTGTTTTTTACAAAAACCGAAAAAGGAAAGAAACTGTCACCAGCTGCAGTTCCTTGGAAATTAGAATAGAAACATACCAATCTTCAAGATCATAAAAACATCTTTGAAGTAATCAACCAAGTTTTGACGGTTTTAATAAACAACAAAATGGGTAATACACAATTAGAAGGAAGTTTTGAAACACAAAGTTGAAAATTAATTAAAAAAAAAAAAAAAAAAATAATGAAAATACATTTTCGTTTTAAGTTAACTCAGTATTTTTTACTTTAAATTGTTTTAAATATTAAATATTTAGATATTAAGAAACTAATTGTTTTTTTTTTTAATTTAAGAACGATAAATTACCTTCTAGAGTTTATTAGTAAACTTTTATTCACTGTGATGTGTGCCGCTTTATTTCCAGGGAACAATTTTATTAATGTACTACCTTTACTAATATTCAAAAATTAAATCTAAACCTTCAGATACTATTATTTTACAGTGATCAGAGAACGTGTGCAGAATCCTATTAAAAAACGTTGACATACTTCAACTATTTACAAAAAAAAAAAAAAAATCATTTCAATAAAAGCTGTAGGCAAGGTTTTGTTGATTCAATTTCTACTGAAATGTTGTTGTTTCATTTTTAGACTAAATTTTAGCAATCATACCGCTTCTTGCCAGTTACTGTGATATTAAGATATATTATATAATTAATTATAATATATCTGATTATAATTATTTTTAGTTCATTTGTTTAGCAAATGCTTAAAATTTGTAAATATTTTACAAATATTTACAAGTTCCGTGTTTTATAATATATATAAAGACAGCAAGGACGAGAAGAACAGGTTTGTCTTTTCACCAAATCCTTTGTTTTTTCTAGACATTTATATAAATATGTCTGAACTAAAATTAAAAATGAGAGAAAAAGAAAAATGTTTCAAAGAAGTTCATATAAAATGCAAAATAGTTTAATAGAGTCTTTCAAAGTTATTTTTAATAAAAAATAAGAAAGTAAATTATTCACAACAAAATGAATGTTAACTTACGGTCATGCAATGCTATATATATATATATATATATATATATATATATATATATATATATATATATATATATATATATATATATATATATATATATATATATATATATATATATATATATATATATATATATATATATATATATATATATATATATATAATATATATATATATATATGTATATATTCAAATTTCAAAGTTATTCATTAAAAGAAAAGTATAGTTAGCTATATATTATATCCTTATATAATTAATTATATGATATGTCCTATTATAATTAAATATATTTAAATATATAAGCTGTTTTAGGTGCAGAGAAAAAAAGTAGAATTACTTTTAAGGGAACTTTTTATAAAACATTAAAAAAAAACAAAAAGAAGAAAATTTATTTGTTTTGTTTTGTTTTGTTATAATTTGCCGTAGAAAGTTACAATTTATAAAACAACATAAAACAAATGGCTGGAGCAAGAAGAGGACATCAGTTTGTCTTATCACCGAGCTCCATTGTGAATTCTTTACAGGTCGTTTTTTACAATAAAATATATTAAATCGTGATAAATGCTTGTGATAAAATATATAACAATGTGTAAAACTGCGTTTCACAATTGATATAACTGTTTATATATAAATTTGTATTGTAAAATAAATTTAGAACAAATAAAAGTTAAAGCAAATAAAAGAAATAAATTGTGCAAGTTTATATTTTTTTACTAAAAAAGAAAAAAAAAAAAAGTCCGTAGATAATAGCTTTGACTCAGTCCGTAGATAATAGCTTTGACTCAGATTTAAACTGTTCAATGTATTTTTTTTAATAGTAACAATCTGGGGAAAAAATTTCCACAAAATAATATTGATTTAATAATTTCATAAGCGACTCATTTTATTACAAAAACTGATCAACAAATAAAATTATTAATAAAAAAATGATCTTATAGTATCTGTGGTATTTTTCTATGATATTCTGAATCAACTCTACAAAAAAAAAAACAAACTAGAATGAGTTATATTCAAACATTTGAAAAATTAAAACGCGTGTTTAGACTTTTGAACAAGTAATGATTTGTTGCCCACCTCCCTGGAGCAAAATCATATATTAACACCTAGAAAAAAAAAAAAAAAAAAACAGTTATAGAAGTAATGCTGAAAATCTATAGATCATCAGAATGGTTTAATTTAGTTAAAAAAAAAAAAATTTGAAAGAGGTCATCCAATGAAATTTGAAAGAGAATTTGCAAAAACAACCCTGAGACATAATTTTTTTACGAACAGAGTGATACCTCATTGGAATGCTTTACCTGAAAAAGTGGTTTCTGCAATGACAGTAGATTTTTTTAAAGCTAGACTAGATAAACATTTGTTAACGGCTGTTAAAGTATTAATTTTAAACTTTATGCTCCGCGACAATAGTCGTTACAGTACTATATATTACTATTACTATTACTCTTCGCAAATTATAAACCTTCCTTATCAAATATTTAACTCTAATGAATCAGAGTTTACCACCGACCCAAAAGCACAACTTATGTTCAAAAAAAAGATTATTGATAAAGAGCGGTACGTCGGGCCGCTCTGTGATTACAGTCTAGCTTTGAATGATATAATTTTTAAATAGTTTTTAAGTTACAGTTTAGTGTTATAACAATGCTAATTCAAGTTTGAAGTTATTGATACTAATTTAATTTACCGCGTTTTGGGTTAAAGTCCATTGTTTGAACACACGGTTGGTAAAAAAGTTATTTTTTTCCGCGCAGCTTCGATCAAGTTGTGTTTTAAATTGTTTGGTGTGTCTGCGAACTCGAAAACTATACTTTTGATGGCATTAAGTATGGTTGACGCTGAGGGACTGCAAAATTAATTATGCCAATTTTGATGTTAGTTTTGTATTGTTGAATAAAGTCTGCTCTTGCGCGCCGTTCGGTTACGTAGTCAGGTTTAAACTTGATAGTCTCTAATTGTAAGGTTAGTAATTTAAGGTAAAGATTAGTTTCGTGGTTTGGTTTTGAACTTTCTCAAGTTTAGCTATATCTTGAGCTAGTTATGGTAACCATATGGCTTGTACTACAAATTCCAAGTGTGGACGGTGTATGAAATATACAAAGTGTGTCATAGAACAATAATAGGTCCTCGAAAGACACTCTTAAGCAGGCCAAGCATTCGGTAACCAGCTGATGCGGCCAGGAACATTTATTTACTAAACTTTAAATCCTTAGTAGTTATAAAGCCTAGATCATATTCAGACGTTATGCATGATAGCTGTTGCAGTGACTGAATGCGTCATTTATTGTGTCATTGTAATAAATTTTTTTATTGTTGTTGTAACTGGTGTGCATGACTTATCTACACAACATGAGCTATGTGTGTGACCACTTTACTGCTTTGTTGACGTTTTCTTGGTATTTTTATTTGATTTGATAAACCCAAATACTTTTGCAAAGTTCGAATGCTTTCGCGAAATTTGATTATGTATAATTTACAAATGATCATTTAGGAGAGAGTTAAAGTTGAAAACATTACTTTTAAACACCAAAAAGTTAATAGATATAACATTTTTATTTGACCTCAGCATAAAAATACTGCAGAATATTCTCGTTTGAAATAAGCATGAACATACTGGTGGCATATTTAACTTTCTATACAATGTCAAATGCACTTTATTTACACAAAAAAAAGATATTTAAGAAAATTTAAAAGAAGTTTAACAGCTGCGCTAAGTCTTGGTGAAAACATACAGAGTAAATATACTCGTGCTAGTGCCACCACCACTGTCTTTTTTTGCAATATTTTATAACCTCTTAACATTCATGTAATTATAGAAACTTTTTTTTCAGAAAAAAAAAGTGTAAATTCTCGTATCAAAATATTTTTATTTTTCACAACGATAAAAATAATCTTGTATGTTATAATTCTAATTTACTTCAATAAATGAATTTGAAAGTATATGAAAAAAATGGTCATAATGACCTCCTTTACCTTATTTGTAAAAGTTTATATTTGTTAATAGCTTTTAAGGTGCAAAATCTATATTCCGTTTCAATTAAACACAACATTGATTAAACACAATAAAGCTTGTTTTTTATTACAATTAAACTCAACAGTAACTAAACACTACAAAGCTTGTCTTCCATTACAACTAAACTCAACAGTGATTAAACACTACAAAGCTTGTCTTCCATTACAATTAAACTTAACAATGATTAAACACTACAAAGCATGTCTTCCATTACAATTAAACTCAACTATGACACTACAAAGCCTACAATTACAATTAAATGAACACCGTATCTCACGACAGTGACAAAAGTGCAGTAAAAAGAGCATTTACTTATGATAAAGAACTGATCCTAGTGAATCATTTTAACTAATAAGCTGCCTTGCATTATGGCCTAACAAAAAATATGCATCAAATTAGCTTTCCGGTATCCAAAATTAGTGTCGGAACAGAATTAATTAAAAAATTAGAACGGAACTAATTAAAAAATTAGTAACGGAACGGTCTAATAGAAAAAAAACAAAATTAGTAACGGAACGGTCTAAAAATATGCATTAAATTAGCTATCCAGTATGCAAAATTAGTATCGAAACGGAATTAATAAAAAATTAGTAACGGAACGGTCTAAAAGAAAAATAAAAACTCAAAATGAATGGTTTGCTGCTGAGTCTGCTGAAATTTGCTTATGTGACTTTAGAAACCTCTATCTTTGTCCAAGCTTATGCAAATCTAAACCCGCGAGTCATGCTAGGGCAACTTGTAAACAAAGTAAATGTATTTTTTGAGAACTTACAGGTTTTCCTGAAAAAACAGAAATTTCAATTAAACAAAATCTATGGTACATACTTAAAAATGTCTATGTATCACTTAAGGTATAAGGAATACTTAGAAAAAAACCCATGGATCACCAACCGTACCTAATATACTTAAAAATGCCTATGGATCACCAAAGTTAAAGAAAATATTCAAAAAAATGAGCAAAATGTTAATCACTTGAAAAACAGAAATAAAAATAATAATGAAAAAAACAAAAATTAAAAAAAGAATCATTACCTGAAACTAATAAAAAACCAAATAAAGATATTAAAAAACATAGTATGTTATGAAAGAAATAATTGGAATTAAAATATGCAAATCAAAACAGTTTACCTGCTTAAATTGTCACGAATAATATAAAATTTGACAAAAAAAAAAAAAAAAAAATTCAAAAAAAATTTCAAAAAAATAAAATATCAGGTACACCTTATAAAAAAAACAATAAATAATGCTAAACGTTCAAGTAATACTTCAAAATAATAAAAAAGTATTTAGTCTTTTATATAATAAGCAAAATAATAAAAAAATATTTAGTCTTATATATAATACCCAAATTTTTATGGTAAAACAAATATTAATACAAAATACTAGTATGTAGCTCAAAATATTTATATTGTATATTCTCAAAATAATCAATGAAAACAAGCATAACTGTATAAATATTAATAATAAGAAGCTCATGTATTGTTTTTGATATTTTTATGGTTCTATTGTTTCAATATTGATTTCAAAAGATTGGTATTTTGTCAAGCTTGCAGCTCTTTTTTTATGATTTAAAAAGTTAAAACTCTGAAAAGTAAAAAGTCCTTTGAACTTCCTTGTAAGTAACACAAGTTTTTTCCATGCATCAGGTTGAAGATATATATAAATGATAGGGTCTGATACATTATTTAATAAATTGATTCCAATCAATGCCAACAACAACAGCTTTTTTGTATTTTTTGATTTAATTTTTACATTTTCAGCAATTAAATGAGGAAGAAAAACAAACATAAAAAAAGATGAGATAATCAAAAATGGCATAATGAACAGTTTCTTTGCCTTCTTATTTACTAATTGATTATCATTTTTTAAAGATGAAAAATGAATTTTAATTACTATATAAGCATATATGCAGAATGCTAATGCTATAACAAACCCATTATACAGATATGCTGCATTACTAAAAAACCAATCATTAGCAATACCACCATACCTTATTAAAAGTCCGAATATTATCGAAAATAACCACAAAAGAACAAGACTACAAAAAACAATAAAATTTGTCATTTTTGTTCGATATTTGAATGGGAATGCTACAAACATAAATCGATCTAATGATAGAAGACAGAGATTAATAATATAAGCCATATGTGCAAAGTAATATACTGCGACAAAAGTTTTAGTGAATCTTGAACTTTGGTATTTCCAATGCACAGCCACAGCATTATTGAAGATGTTTATAATAGATACAAAACTCATATGCATAATGAAAATGTTTTGTGGAGATAAATTTTTTAACTTACGAGTGAAAAGCAAGGATATGCCAATTATATTAAGCACTAAAGCAATAAATATTATGAAAACATCTACACCAAGTATAAATTTCACATCCGAAGGTAGTGTCAACATCACATTATCTTTACATGAGGTATTGTTGCATAATGTTCCATTCATGTTTCTTTTGAACTTTTTGATTTTAATTTATAAATATATAAAAATGTATAAATACAAAAAAAACTCATTTAAAAAAATAACAAATAATTTTTTGAAAACATAACTTTAAATTTTAAATTGTATATATGTGTGTGTATATATATATATATATATATATATATATATATATATATATATATATATACATATATATTGAAATATATATATATATATATATATATATATATATATATATATATATATATGTATATATATATATATATGTATATATATATATATATATATATATATATATATATATATATGTATATATATATATATATATATATATATATATATATATATATATATATATATATATATATATATATATATATATATGTATATATATATATATATATATATATATATATATATATATATATATATATATATATATATATATATATTTATATATAATATGTATTATTCCTTTTTCAAATCATGATAAATAAATCATTAATCATTTAATTTTTAAAATTTTTTCAATATATATGTATATATATATATATATATATATATATATATATATATATATATATATATATATATATATATATATATATATATATATATATATATATATATATATATATATATATATATACATATATATATATATATATATATATATATATATATATATATATATATATATATATATATATATATATATATATATATATATATATATTATATATATATATATATATATATATATATATATATATATATATATATATATATATAGGTACCCTCGTATGCGTCCGTTTTTTTATTTTGACATCGCTTTTATAAAGTTTCTGAATTTCCGTGTTTTTCCAAACTACGCTATATGCATAAAGGAAAGAGTGTTTAAAAGCTAGCTAAAAAATAAAGTGTCAATTTTTATTATATTTTTTCGTTTAAAGTGAAGGTTAAACTTGTTTATAGTAATACAATTTTCAAAAAATTGCGGCTTTTTCACTGTTGAGGAATCCTGCCAAAATAGGTAATTTTCATATAAAGAATTTAATACACCAATACAAATGCTCATAAATGATTTTGACATACTCAAATAAATTCTTCATAGATCTTTCATTTGATATATAATAACCGATACTTTAAAATCTCCTTCATGTTTAAAAAAGATGCATACAGTTGCTACCGCAAAATAATGTATTGTTTATAGCGCCATTTTTTAAAATTATTTTGATTGTTGCTTTGTATTTTTCTTTACTTTAGATGGACCACAAGACTGCAAAAGATATTTGCGTTTTAATTAATTCATATAAATGCCAATCGAAGCCTTTGTTAAATGGTGACATTTACAAAATTTTTTCTGAAAATAATTTCAAATTATCAAAAACTTGTCTGAAATTAAAAAAACTGAACATTGGACCTCAAAATGCATCTGATTTTAAAATATTCTCCAACAATATAAGATACTTGCATAAAAAGATAAAAATCTTTAAAAAAACCCTACCCAGTCATGGGCTGCTATTGTTAATTTTTTGCAGCAACCATTTAAATATGAAAGAAAAAAAATTAGTTCTAATACAAATATTCACTTAAACGTTGCAAGTGATTTAAATATTGCTTCAGACACAATGCAGAGAGTAAAGTGTGGTTCATGCAAAATAAAAAAGAAAAAAACAGAAAATTGCAGCAGAGAGTTCGTTTTTTGAAAAAATCAATGACCTGTAACAAGCTTACAAACAAAAAATTTAAAAGACAGTATTTTTCACTAAATTTGTGGAAACTGAAATATTCAGAAGAAAAAAAAAAAAAACAGTTCAACAGAATAAGTTTCATTCTCTAGATTTCATTAATGAATTGAGAAATCTTAAAATTAGTAGAACGAAGTTGCAACAAAATGTTAAAAAGATAGAAAAGAAACACAAAATTGCGATCAAAGAATTACAGGAACAGTTAAAAATCAAAGAGCAAGAAAATAAACAACTTGTAGAACAAAATCATTATTTAACTAGTATTGTTTTAGAAAAAAAAAAAGATAATAGGTTACTTATAGAAACCAAAAAATTAAAAACATATGACCTACCCATAAGAAAATGTGTTTATGCTGCTATTATTAACAATGTGCCTGTGGAAAGTGTCTCATTTTTGTTAGAAAAAATTTCTGAACTGTTACACAACACAGAACTGCAAGAAACACCTCACTCATCCACAGTAAATCGAATGGCATATGAGCCAGGTGTTTTAGCATTGGTTCAGGCTGGTGAGGCACTTTTTCATTGTGAATGTGCAACAGTAGTGTTTGATGCAACCACCGTTTTAGACAAACATGTAAATGAGTTCCTTATCAGTACCTATCCTCCGCAGAGATGTTATTCCTTATCAACCGCTAAACTTGCTGGAGGCACAGGATTTGACTGTGCCACTCATATTGTTAGTGTAATAAAAGAACTCGCCAATACATTTGCAGAGTTTAAAAATATGCCAGCAGTAGAAGTTTTAGATGTTTTCACTTAAAAAATCAAAAGTTGTCTGTCAGACAGAGCACCTGTTAATAGTTGTGTGAAAAACATGCTTTAGGAGGAGATGGACATTCAGTTAATGCAACTGTACTGCAATGTTCATCCATTGGAAACTATTGCCTTAAAGGCATTATTAGCTCTTAAAACAAACGATAATGAGTTGAATATAAAACCAGCTAAAGGAACTGATGGGGTTGCAGTAACAGTCCTCAAAAATATTTCTAAGCTAAGGTAATCTTTTGTATGTATATCTTTCATTATTTAAATTTTTTTTTAGTTTTATTTTCTTGTGTGCAATTATTTCTTTATTATTTCCACGTTTTGAAAATTTGAAATTTTAATTTTTTTGCTCTTTAAAAATCAGGTATAGTTTTAAAGGCGATCCTGCAGCATTCAAAAGCTATCTTAAAAAAACAATGTTGCTCCAGGGCTATTCCTTAGATATGTTGGTAGTAGATTTCATGTTTTGTTCCATATGGCAGGGATTGTTGTTACATACGAAAGACTTATAAAAACCTTTCTTGAAGAGTAAGTTTTTTTTAGATGAATATTTGTTTTAATAGAATTCTATGTATTAACATTTTCTCGTTATTCTAGCAACACCAAAAATAAAATTTGCCAACTCTTACTTCAAGATATGAGTAATGATATAACGCTTGTGCAACTTCAAGGGTTGGGCCTGATAAGAAATATAATAACTGGGCCATGGATGAGTCTGGTTTATAAAAATGCAACAGGAAAGAGTAATCTTGAGTTTGTTAGTTTTTAAGGTTTTCTAATAAACAAATAAAGTAGTTTAAAAAATGTACAAAAATTATTTTTTTAATAGGGTGACATTTTCCAGAAAGCAATAAGGAAATTAGCTTACTTCAAAAGTAATCCAGAATCAATTCTTTATACAGATGTGGATATTTTTAGTCAAGTATTAAATATCAAAAAAGATAAGGTACACCAATCCCTTCGTGTAATAAAAAATAAAAATATTTTGGTAAAGATTTTATCAGCTTTGATAAGCTACACAGAGACAGTTCTCAAAAGACAGATGGCCAGGTATTTGACTGGCAATCTCTCAAATCCATCTAAAGAAATGATAAAAACCACACTATCTGCTCCACCTCATACAATGGAGGCTGAAAGGATCTTGGGCATGCTTGATTTTTTTTTGCGTCGTGCTCCTAATGCTACTTTTGGTTTTCTGGATTCTAAAATAAAAGCCAGGGTAAACAAAACATTAACATGGCTTGATGAGAAAACATTGCCAGAACAAGAAGATCTTATTCAATTTGTAATTCGCAGAGAAGCTTTAACGTGTCAAGCCTCTAAAAATTTTAATAATCTTTTGTATGAAGAAATTGGAAAAAGATGCGCCAAAGCTAATTTAAAAAAAAGAGTGTCGGGAAAGAAAGCGACTAGAGAAGGATATTAAAAGAGCAATAGCTGAAAATGCCAAAACCACAAATCCTCTTTTTGTTAATATTGATGAAAAACAAAAACGAATTTTAGGAGTAATTTTGTGGAAAAATGGAAACTTGATAGGGCAGCTCTTAAGCCATAAATGGGAGCTAGATGATGGTAATATACATTTGTTTTTTGGTAGAATTGTTGATCAAAAGGTAGCAACAAAAAAAAAATCTATTACATACACAATAGGATATTGGAAAGTCAATGAAGATGAAGCTGAAGATATTGACATAAGCCAGGAAGGAGTTATAGCAGATCTAATACTTAAAGACTTGGAGTTCATTTAAAAATTACTATAATATATTAGGCATTATTATCTTTTATTTTGTTTATGTTGATTATTTTGTATACATTTTTATTTATTCCTTTTAGTTTTTAAATATTTTTGTATTAACCAAGAGCAGACACAGGGTTATTTTACAATTTAGATACTGTACTTGGCATTGTGAAAACTCTAAGTATAAGTATGTTCAATCATATGTCAAATAAGAATGATTTGCTAAAAAATTGTGGTAATTAAAACTTAAGAACAAAACTATCTAAAAAAGATAGAACCCCCCTGTCTCAAATGTTAATTTAATGAGTAAATAAGTTTTTAAGTTTATTATTCAAAACTAAATTTAAATTCACATTTTTTAATGCTCAAAGGTTATGACCATGTGAAATAACTTAAAAAAATAACTTTAAACATATCAAGAATTATTGGGTCTGTTGATAGATTTCAATGTAGTATAAAATAATAACTAAATGTATTTTAATAACTTGGTCCCCTCACATTTTTATGTGGGGCACAAACTTTTTGGGGTATTTTTGTTCCCAGGCTCCAATCACTTCAATTTTTTATACAATTTTTTTTCACATTCTCATTAGATTTAAGCATGAACAAACTTAAATTTAGATTAGTTATGGTAATTTTTTTAATAAAATGACTAGAATCGAATTTGACCCCCTTTTAAAATGGGCTTAAACACCCCCCCCCCCTCTCTTTTTTTTTTTTTAATTTAATTTATATAAGTGGGATATAATAAACAGTTTTTATCATATATGTGACAGTAAATTGTTAATATTTTATGAACTATGTTATAAAGACCACTTTTTGAAGTCATTTTCTTGTGTATCTTTGTTAAGATGTCCAATTTATTTTCTCTACCTTCAAAATTGAATATCTTTTTTTTAGTTGACCCCAGATAATAAATTTGGCATAAAAATTTGTCATTTAATAACCTCCATATAATAGAATTAATTTGTTTTAAAAAATAAAGGTTTAAATTTTTTATGAAGGTACCTATATATATATATATATAGGTACGTGAAAATATCCGTTTTACGGAACCGAATATTGTGCTAAAAAACTGTGCCACGCTTTTTAGATTTTATTTTTAGCTAGCGTAGGGAAGACGTGTTTAGTTAAAAAACTTTTTAGAATTTGATATCAATATAGATTATTTTTAGAAACTAGAATAGTTAAACTTTATTACTGTGAGGTTTATTATTTTACTAGATGGCTTTTTTATTGAGTTTTTTGATGTCTAAAACTTTGTTGTACTTTGGGCATGAAATTAATGTCCAAGATATGCTCTTTTTTTTTTCTATACTATTCTTTTTTTTAAGTTTTTCATTTATCTATGCACCTGGAAAATTTCATTGAAAAAAAAGTTGTAGCAGGGTGTCTATTTTTTGTCGCACTTTTGGTACCTAATTTTCACTTTGCTGAAGTGGTCGCGGGAGACAGAGGGGTTAAATAAACATTGTTTATATTTGATTTTAATTTAAAAAGATTTTCAGTTTTTTTTTTAGATTAAATAAAATGGAAAGTAGAGATATTGATAAAAATTTTTAATATTGTTTCCTATTTATTAAATTATTTATAAATTATTTGCCTTCAATGTAAAGTTGTTATGTTTCCTACTTTAAAGTTAAATTTTTTAAAAATGTAACTGACATTTGTAATATTATAACATATTTTATCTTACATTGTAAGTCTCTCCAATAACAATTGCAATATGCTACTACTTGTTGTATTATGCATCTTTTTCTAAAAAAGTCTAGGTAAAAACTAGACTTTTTTTTTTAATGATTAACTGTTAATCTTTCAACTGTAATAAATAGTATTTATATTATTTATTACAGTTGATACAGATATAATATGGTCATATATAACTAATATATGTTAGCAACCTTATTCAACTTTTATGTATAATATATATATATATATATATATATATATATATATATATATATATATATATATATATATATATATATATATATATATATATATATACATATATATATATATATATATATATATATATATATTATACATAAAAGTTGAATAAGTACCGTTTAATCTTTTGTGTCATTGTATTATTTAATCTTTAATATCCTTGTCATCTGTTGCAGCTGGTAAGGTTTCTATATTATTAATTTGAGAGATAAAGTAATTATATGCAAGTTCATGTAACGCGTATAAATAGAGTTAGCAATCGATTGCATCAGGCTAAAATTAGAGCCAATATTTCCCAAAGACAGGCATCCAAGTGCCAAAAAATTGATGAAAAAGAAAAAAGTTAAAGCAAAAAAAGTTCAAGCGTTAGCTATCCAAATTGAGTTATGATGAAATTATAGGTTCATACAAAAATTTGTCTATGACCAACTTTATAATTTAGAAGATGTCATGTGTTAAACAATTTTAGGCAAAAAACTATATCATGAATGATATGATCCTAAACATCCAAGCCTGTTTTGTATAATGGCAGAGTAGAAAAAGTATTTAGTTAAAAAAATGACTTAGTTTACACTATTTCTTACTGGAAAGATGATGAAACGTATATGGAAGCTGGTGACCATTGCATGAAAAAGATCCAGCTTGTTGCAGATGTTATTTCAGAAGAGTTACAATTTTATTAATTTTATATTATATTAATAAAACACTGTGAAAGTACAAGTTTGAAATTAAAGCTAAAAAAGTACTACAAATGAATTGCTGAAAAATACTACCAGTGTTGTGACTAGCTAAAAGAAATTTATTATTGTAATCATTCACTAAAAGCCAAGACAAAACTATATGAGATATACATTTTATTTGTTTTTTAGTTTGAAACAGTCAAAGTGTTATTTGAAAGATTTAAAAATTATTAAAGGTTGGTTAATAAAATGGATATCAAAGCTGTAGAACGTTGCATTAAAAAGTTTCAGCTTGTTGCAGATATTGTTTCCAGAAAGTTGACTAGATATTATTTTGTTAAAACACTGCAAATATATAAATTTGAAATTTATAGATTAAAAAACTGCAAGTACTGTGACTTGTTTAAAAAAAAAAGTACTGCTAGTGTTGTGATTTGCTAAAAAAAAGTAGCACAAGTGTTGTGACTTGCTAAAAAAGAGTACTGCAAGTGTTGTGATTTGCTAAACAAAAGTACTTTAAGTGTTGTGACTTGCTAAACAAAAGTACTGCAAGTGTTGTAACTTGCTATGTATTTTTGATAGACGGCTCTGGCTTACCTTCAGTGTCTATTGTTAAAAATGATTTTAAAATAATTTCATAAGTATAATTTATCATTGTAATCATTCACTAAAAGCTAAGAAAAAACTTTATGAAATAAAGCATCATTAAAATAATCAAACATTATTTAGTGTTAGTAACATTTTATTTATTTTTTAGTTTGAAACAGCCTAACTAAGGTTGGTAAATACCTTGTTTTGATTACCTTTTTACCACTATTGACTGACAATAGAAGTCACTCTGAATGAGAATATTTAACCAAAAATTCTCCAATTAATCAAAAATGCTTTTTTTTTAAAAAAAATGTGACTTTTACTGGGTTAGATATATTTTTTACTTCTTTGTTGTTGTTTTTATATAACCAATCAAATATTTCATAATTAAAATTTTTTTGCAATATTAGGGTGTGTTAAAACATGGTCAACCATTTAACATGGTTTTACACTTACCTTCAATGTTTGGTGGTTGTCCAGTATTAATTTATAGAACCTTTAAACAGAAAAAAACTTTTAATTTATAGAACCTTTTTACAGAAAAAAACTTTGTTTTGGGACTTTAGGAAACAGTAGTTGTGTCATTTTAATTTTTTTTAATTTTTTTTTTTTAGGTTGGGTGGGGTGGGGGGGGAGAGTTATTCGCCCCTCCCATACATCGATGTAAACACGACTTAAATTTGTAATAGTACCACCACGTAAATTCTTGTAGAACATAATTTTATATTGTATACTAATTGAATTCATTTTAGTAAAGATAAAAATATTTATGAAAACAAGTCTTTTTTGATACTAGGGTGTATCAAACCATCACCACCACACCTACCTCCAACGTTAACATACGCTTCTCATATACTCTGGTGGTTAAATATAATTTTATAACTATGTTTTTGTGTATTTAAAATACTTATGTCTTGAAAAAAGACTTTTGTGTGAAAAAAAAGTCTTTTTTCAAGAAAAAATGTTTAGTTTTCATACGGGTAAGGTGATGGTTTGGTGCCCCCTCTGTCCATCCGATACACCCGGTGGTTAGAGTTTAACAAAAATTTGTAGCCCACTCTTACACCTATCTTTTGACACCAAGGTATTTGTATTTCGATAAGAATGAATAAAGTTATGACAATTTAAGTGAAGAAAAACATAATTTTGACCACAGTTTTTTCAACAATTCCATATATCGAAAAATCGGTACTTAAACTGTCATAACTTTTGAACCGATTGTTCGTTTTTGATAATTTTTTCACCTTTAAAAAACTGTATTGGTCCTCTTTATAATGATATATAGCAGTATAATATTACAACAATTTGAATTTTTTACTCACGTACCTAATATATATATATATATATATATATATATATATATATATATATATATATATATATATATATATATATATATATATATATATATATATATATATATATATATTTAAAAATTTTCAAAAATTAAATGATTAATTTATCATGATTTGAAAAAGGAATAATACGTTTTTATATTGTTAATAATAAATTAAAAACATTTTTTCAATAACAAAAGATTAATAACATTATAAATTTGATAAATTTAAATTCTCAATAAATAATAAAACTATTTATTGAGAATCAATCACACTATAGTCATTATAGTTCATTATAATATAATATCAAAACAGTAGCAACAAAACTATTTCTTTTTTTTCACTTTTTTCATAAAGCAAAACCAAACTAAATTAGTTCTTAACATTAAAAATTTTGAAAATATTTTCATACTTCGTAAAGCAAACACTTTTTAAATTACAACTGTTCATATATAATACATTTCATATTTATTTTTGTTTAAAACATATTTTAATAAAGTGAAAACGTTTACTTTTATTTTCATCAAATAAATGTACACAAAAAACAAAACAATACATAAAGTTAAATTTTTTTATTATTCAAAGTTATCTTTATTTTCTATTGTTATCCATAACGTAACGCGACAAACAATACTGTCTATATTTAATAATTAGGCACCTTGACGTCATAGCTAAACAAAAGCTCGCTATGACAACAAACACTAATCGTCGCATTAGAATTATAGGGTTCTATCTGTCTTGTTTTATGTTGAAAGAATTTGACAATCAAAGTTTTAATTAATAATTAATAATAAAAACAAACCAGTTAAAAAATGATATATTATATATCATTTTTTAACTTATTATTTATAACTATAATAAATAACAGATGTAAAACATGTATTAAATAAATATTGAAAGTTAAGTTCTTGCAACATAAAAAAGGCAGATAGAACCATATAATTCTAATGTGACGTAATGTATAAAGTAGCTTAAGTATTACGCGAAACGACGTCAACGAGTGGCAAATAATTCTAGGAAACTACTTTTTTTGTTAGTTTTTTAAGTTGCTATGTCTAATGATAAACTGTCACCTTATTAACAATTTTTTATTTGAATAGTTTTTTTTTCAACATTTTAAAAAGTTTTTAAATCATGAAGGGTTTACATTTTAAAAAGTTTTTAGAAACATGGAAACAAATTTGCTGAATGACAAGTCAAATGAGAACAAGTTTTGGTTGATCGAACTTGAGATAATGGTATGAATGATATAATAAAGGTATACCTTTATTAAAAAAAAGGTATACCTTTCTTGTAATAAAGGTATGCCTGTGTTATATACTAATTTTTTTTGTATTTTTCGAAATTGTTTTGTAATAAATTTGAGAAATAATTTTTTTAGCTTTCTACCAGCCAGCCTCAGTAACGTAAAACTCAGGTTGAGAGCTGTGCTCTGATTCGCAGATAAAAGGAAAAGTTGAACAACCATTATGAAGAAAGCATAAGAAAAAATCTATGAATAGAGTGGAGAAGGTCATTCATCAATTTTAGGAGGAAACGATGTAACAGGTTTCTATTTATCCTATCCTAATAGAAAAAGAAGGTTTGTTAGAGAACAGAATTATTATTTTTACCTATCAAGTCTTTGGCTAAGAGGTTTTCTACAAAACAGTGATTGTTTGTAATTAACATCTAGCCAAGATTAGTAGTTATCAAAACTCTCCAGCCTTTACTCTCTAGCCTTTACTCTCCAGCCTTTACTCTCCAGCCTTTACTCTCCAGCCTTTACTCTCCAGCCTTTACTCTCCAGCCTTTACTCTCCAGCCTTTACTCAACTAAGAGCCTAAAGGCAGGGAGTTTTTAATTAGGATTTAATTTCTTTTAGCCTTTGCCTATAGGCTAAAAAAGTAAAGAAAAAAGATTAACGAGTTAATTCTGTTAATAATTATAACATTAAATGTTATAAAATTAATTTTAGTAAAAAAAAGGGCTTTAACAAACTGTCAGAATAAACAAACTCATTTTTATTTATAAATATTAGATAAAAATGTAAAAATACACAGGGTCCGTTTTCCCATTTTGGGGGATATTGGGCCAAGAGTACAAAAAGCTCTGTTAAAACCGTAAAAATTAACTTAGATTAAAGAAAAAGAGCTTTTTCAAACTGTTAGAGTGAATAAATTCATTTAAATTTATAAATATTAAGAAAGTATGTAAAAATCTTAGGGCTTGTTCTTCCAATTCAGAGCAATTGGACCAAAAAAAATCAAAGCTCTGTACAAGCAATAAAAAGTATTTTTAGTTAAAAAAAGAGCTTTTTCAAACTGCCAGAATGTACAAACTCATTTTTATTTATAAATATAATGAAAATATGTAAAAAAACAGAGCCTGTTTCCCCATTTTGGGGCGAATTGGGCCAAAAGTACAAAAAGCTCTGTTAAAACCGTAAAAATTAACTTTAGTTAAGAAAAAGTGATTTTGCAAACTGTAAAAGTGAACAAATTCATTTTTATTTATAAATATCAAAAGTATGTGTAAAAAGTTCAGGTCTAATTCCCCGAATGAAGGCAATTGGACCGAGTTTAAAATTTCTGTAAAAACTAAAAAAATAAACTTTAGTTTAAGAACGAGAGCTTTTTTATATTGTAAGAGTAAACAAGTTCATTTACATTTTTAAAAATCTAAATTTTCCAGAACGAAATGTCTTTGTAAACCATAGAAATACAATGTCTAGCTTTCTCCAACCACTGTCTGAAACACTCTTTGTATTTTCTTCTGGGCATTTTCAAATTAAAAACTCGAAAGAGAATTAGTAGTTTTTCTTTTAAATACGAAATGTGGTAGAAAAGAGTTACCCATCTCATTGACAAAAGTTATTACTCTGATTGTTTACCGGTTACCCAATTGACAATATTGTAGATACTTAACTCTTTTTTTAGCAACTATTTTTCTAGGACAATAATCAAACTGCATCCAAGTCTCATCCATATTCTAAATGTTTTGCGGTTTTTGAAGTAGGTTGTTTTCCGTTAACACATTTTTACGAATGGAAAAATCTTTCGACACTTTAAAAACAATCATACACTGATGTCTAATAGCTGCTGTACCTTTTGGTTGACGTCAAGTTAAATCCTAGTGCCTTTTGCAAATCCCACACCACATTTTTCTTTAGAAGTTCCATTCTTGAAAAATCTTCAGCATATTTTAAAAATTGCAATCGACCAAATCTGATTCCTAAAGCTGCACGATTATATGCAAGATCAATTTTTTTTTGTTTAATAAGGTTTACATATATATATTTCGTCATAATAATAATAAATTATTTACAATATATTCTGTATGAGTTAAGATATGAAAGGAGCAGGATATATATATATATATATATATATATATATATATATATATATATATATATATATATATATATATATATATACATATATATATATATATATATATATATATATATATATATATATATATATATATATATATATATATATATATATATATATATATATATACATATATACATATATATATACATATATATATATATATATTTATATATATATATATATATATATATATATATATATATATATATATATATATATATATATATATATATATATATATATATATATATATATATATATATATATATATATATATATATATATATATATATAACAATCTCAGTAAGATAATATTAAATACTTTTAAATAAAGAAGTGTTAGATTTTTTTTTCTCCCGAATACAATATAAAGATAAGTAATGATGTAAAGGGTGATGTCGCTTTTTAACAAAAAAAAAAGTTAAAAAAAAAAAAAAATAAAAGAGAATAAAATAAAGATTAAAAATAAAATAGTATTTGAGATACGTCATAATCAAGTAACTGTTTTTTTAAGATACCTTTAAAAGTTTGAATGGAACTTGTAGTTTTATTATTATCTGGGAGAAATGAGTTCCACAAATGTGGCCTTCAATAAATTATTGAGAATTGAGATTGTTTTAACAAAGTTTTAAGCAATAAATGCTTTGTTTGATATTTATGATCTATAATAAAGAAAAGGTCTTCAAAAATATTAGGTAGCATATGATATTTTAATCTAAACATGAATAAAAGAATATTAAAAATATCTAATTGGTAAACATTCAGCACTCCAAGCTTACGAAGCAGTGGATTGGTACTGGTGTTTTAATTAACTTCTGTTTATCTAAAATAGTTGGATGTCCAGGTTTGGCTCCCATTTCCATTACTCAAGAAAGTCAAACTTGTAACAAACATGATAGAATGTCAAAAACTTTACATGCCAAAAAAAAAACTCAATTTTTAACAGCTTCAATTGCTGATATCATCGATTCATCATTCCATAAGCGGTGTTTTTTGTGTTTGCTTTTCTGTTTTTCAATTTTCGTTGAATTTTCTGTTTTTTTAGTTTTATTTATTTTTTCGTTCTAAAGTAAATTTAATTATAAAATGGTTATGACTGTCTAAAAATAAATGTCTATGTTTCTATGATTATATCATATATATGTATCAAGTAAATTGCGGTCAGCACGGATCATTATAATGCCTACCTAGATGCCTTAAGAACGCCACTTATACTGAAAGTTAGCGTACACATCAAGGTACTCTGTGATGCAAATTTTGAAATCATTTAATTTTGTCCGCGGAAAATAATTTATTTTGAATGTTCAAATTAAGTCAAATTTTGACTTCGTAGTGCGCCAATAAAAAAACTTGTAGAATTTGAACCACTCAATATATAAATTGATAAAAACTCAATTGAAAAAAATTGGTGCAAATGTAGCCAAAAGTCACAAACTCTGGACATAATTTCAGCCTGATTGGATGACTGGTGTAGGATTTATTGCAGTTTTAGTTGAAGTTTTGTCAGTTGTTTGCTACTTATACCTCAGAGCGTTACTAATTACTTTGAAATTCGGTCACTATTTTTAAAATAACGGTTACATGAGTGTTCTACTATGTAATACCAACAATTTTTGTTATGATTATTTTATCGGTACATGTACAGTTTTCATTTAGTCCAAAATAGTGATTTGCTACTTAAAGCGTGATTTGAATTGGCTTATGCCAACGACGTTGACACGGCTTTTAAAGTGGAGGGAGTCAACCCCTCAATTTCTAAATTAAATCTATAATTTCTAAAATAATTGCTTTTATTTCTAAAACAAAAGATCCTCAAAAAAAAAAGTGGGCTGGCCATGGCTCCCTAGACGGCCATGTATGCATAGCGTGAATACGCCAACATTTCCTAAGGTATAAACTACTGCCAGAATGCAAAAAAAATTCTAAAAAAATGGTTAAGAAGCTCGGGTACCTAAATGATTCTGCGAATTGTGTAGAAATAATTTGCGCAGGAAACAAGAGGGGAAAAAAGTTGCACTCTCTCCTTTGCTTGATTTTAAGTCATTACAAGTGAGACCTGAAACAAGAGGCACGATGTGTTGTTGCCTAATATGCCGAATTGGTCGTTCAAAGATGCAAGGAAAACATAACTCTTATAGAGCAAACCACTATTGAGAAAAAACCAAAGGCGCGTTGCAGCAAATGCCTCAGCCCTTTAGGAAAAGGTTTGCCCCACCAATGCTCTCAAATAATGTTAAGGGAAAAAATTCAATCTTTAGCAGAAAAAGATGCCAAATCATCCGAACAAATCGCAACTCGAGTTATTTCCAATAAAGAATTATCTCCGGAAGGAACTAAAGTACTGGCTAAAGCATCCGGCGGGCCTCCACTTACCTCTGGTAAATATTTATACTTATATATATTGAAATAAAGTCTTGACTATTAAGAAATAACACTAGATAGATTTTAAGAAGTATATTTTTGACAAGTTTCTAATTTCTTTGAAAAACGAATAATTTGAAAGTTTTACACAAACTTACTAAACAAAGTTTATTGTAATTATAAAATATGTATGTTTTGGTTTTATGGCAAAATAGTGCGCAGACACCATTAAGTGCTCCAAATTTGAGCACTGCAGCCCTTGTAAATGTGCAATTAAATACGGGCCTGTCAAACAACGGATCAAAGAAACTTGTCAGAACGGTAAAGAAAACATTAAGCAGCAAGATGGTAGACCAAAATTTCTACATGCATTTTCTAAAATTAGGTCAACAATTAAGCGATTTATTCACTTGCAGCGTCTTAAAAATCACAGACGAAAAAACAGATGTACAGTTTATGTTGTTGCTCACCGCAATGAATTATCAAGTCTTGTGAATCATGTTATTCAGTCCCGGAAAATTTCTGGTGGCTATTTTGTTAAGCTCGGAATTGATGGTGGCAAAGGTTTTCTCAAGTTTTGCCTAAGCATTGTTGATATTGCGATAAGAGATAAAACCAGCTCACCGCACCAACAACAACCTCTTACTCAATATAATTTGTGGTCTTCAAACTCATTCAAGTACGCATCCGTGCACCTGGTGTTACGTCAAATCCAATTGTCTTGTCAAATCTGGAAACTTGCGAACACTATGCTGAATTAATTCAAGTCTTGAGTCTTTTCAGTAATCTGGGGGGGGGGGGGTTGTTGCTAATGCAAAGCTGTTTGGCAAGGTCATTCAAAAGCCAATCATATG